CGTGTGGACTGTACGAGTGTGTTACAAAGGCACAAACGTAAACAGACTCAAAGTACATTAGTCGGCAGATGTGCTTCTAAAGGCTTCAACCTTGAAATGGGATGAGGCTGAATTGTAATGTGTGGATCATTTCATTGAGTCCTCCTACTATGCAACTCAGTGGCTTTGCTGTTTATCTCATACATGTGGCAACCTCAAGGTATTCACCGACCACACGAACCTCATCAATGTAACGACGTCACAGAGTGGGTGTCTGTTGATTTGTTCAGAGGTGGGGGAGGTGTCGACATACATGTTACACATATAAAGAAACTGTCAGCATCTCTGTGGGCTATTTTATTTTCAAGCGATGGAAATGTTGACCTGCTCAGATTTTGTATCTCCCCATCATCTGATTCTAGGGTTGGGCAGTATTTTAAAATACCACACTACAGGGTTTTGAGGGTGGCCACCAATCACTGCTTTACCATTTCTGTCTCAAGGCTGTAGAACACTTCATCTGTGAGTTCCATCTCGTAATGATTTCAAATACGTGTTGTCTATTTTCATGTGAAGCACTTAATGTATGCAAAAGATTTAGTATAAAAAAGGTGCTTTACAAATAAAGTTTGTTGTTATTATTATCATATATTACATGATTAATATTATTATTACACAATGAAAGATATGTGACACGCGCTCCAGTTTCACTCTGAACAGAAACAGAATAACAAACATAAACAACATTAACGACCTCTATTTACAACTAACACAAAATGTAGTGGTGCAGAGCAAGTACCAACCAGACATCTGTACTGTTGAAATCTCTGATGACAGGAAGTCCCGTTCTGCTTGATTAGGATTATTAACACGTCTTTTTAAAGTTATTTAAGTTATTCACACATTACATAGCTGTAGTACAGGATGGGTCATCCACTAATTAGAGGGTTGGACGGTTCTAAGTCCTAAGTGCCCTTGTGCAAGTCACTCACCTTGATGTGTGGATAGGATGTGTAAGTGATAAACCGTCACTGGGTGAATGTGACATATAAAGTAAACAAAGCATTAACAAATCTCCCTGATGAAGAGTCAGACATGGCTCCAGCAGGCCCTTCATTAGGTTTTCTGAGCACCTTTCTACTTTGAATAAAAGTATGTTACTACTTCTAAATTGTAGCACCAAGAGCAAAATCTCATGACTACTTTCCCCAACACTGCAGAGTACCACATACATACCACTTCTGTATGTTCCGTGGGTCATTTTGGCATCTTTCAACTCGTTACTGTTTGGGTTCAGTCTGGTCCACTTGTTTTCAGAGAGACGCTCCGACAGAAACAGTTACAGAGTTGGAGCATCTTAAGTATAAAATACTAGACAGAGCTACAAGAGAGACCGGATTTGACTTTCATCCAGTGAACACCACTCCTTCAAGTTGCTCTGTATCTGCTGGACATGGAAATCAAAAGTTGTTGTCTAACATGTAAGCCACTTATCAAATGTTAATATTGGGTAAGACCATGGTCTAGATTCTCCTGATCATCACTATAGAGGCAGTCACTATTTCTATTTGTACCCAATTAGACTTACAGTAAGTATTTGTGGATCAGTGTATTCCATTCATCTCTACATCACTTCAAATCATTTTAGTCATGGTTTATACTTGTTGTGTGATTTACAGAGATCGAATTACAAAGATGATGATGATGATGATGATGATGATGATGATGATGATGATGATGATGATGTTTCTCCTGTCTCTGTGTGGGCGTTGTTAAAAACTCCAGGAGCGGGGAGGCGGTGGGATTATTTACGCACTTTATTTCCCTCCCATTGGTCCGTTAATAGAAGCCGCTCTGATGCATGGCGGTGACACAGCCAAGTCTCCGGCGATAAAAAGAAGGCGCCGCGCAGAGGAGCGCAGGAGAGCGGACAGCGAGCTTGCACTTGATGGTAGATGCGCCTCTGCGAGTCTCAACGTGCCTGGAAGTACATCCAACTCCTGAGGTACTGACTCTGATTGTCTTTGAGGAACTGTCATTTAGACCACGTTTGTGGCTTTTTGTGCTTAAACGAGGTTATGGTGGAAAGACTTGGCACCAGTGCGCCATTGCGCACGGTGCACAAGTGGACATGGTCAATAGAAGTAATAAATGTTGGCATGAGCAATTTTTAAAACGCTCTAAATGAATAATATTTGATTGTAATTGACACTGAGTGAAATTGTTCATCAATATCTGGAGAGATGTATCAGCCAAAAACCAAATCTGATTCTGAGCCTCCTCTCTCTCTCTCTCTCTCTCTGTGTGTGTGTGTGTGTGTGTGTGTGTGTGTGTGTGTCAGGGACCTGCTGAAGAATGGAGTGGTATGTCCTGGTGCTGATCCTGAGCTTGCCGCCCTCCATTCATTCAGACTGCTCTTCACTGTGTCAGAAATGTGTGCAGCAAGTCCTCAGCCCCGACGCAGCTTTCAGCAGCAGCAGCAGCAGCAGCAGCAGCAGCAGCAGCAGCAGCAGCGGCCTGGTAAGACCCACTCCTTAGACCATTACTGCGCCTTTTCACTTTTCTAATCAAGCCTCCACTACAAATGGGTTGAGCTCAAAATCAGGAAAACTCAACATCCAAAAGTGGTGATTACTCATTATTTCTCTAAGAACTTTACTTTTACTTTATTCTGTTATCATGGTTTCGATTATTGACTAATGAGAAAATAAAAATCCTAAGACCCAATATCAGTGGAGTAACAATAGGTTTTGAGTCACGAGTATGAACAAAGATGGAAGATGGCTCCTGGAAATTACCAACATCCAAAAGTGGTGATTACTCATTTTTTCTGTAAGAACTTTACTTCTACTTTATTCTGTTTTCGTTCTCTTGATATTTTCGATTGAATAATGAGAAAATAAATATCCTAAGACACAATATCAGGGGAGTAACAATAGGTTTTGAGTCACGAGTATGAACAAAGATGGAAGATGGCTCCTCATAGATGGTTAAAAGGGTTTTAAACTGTGCTTTCTGATTTTAAATTGTTTTCTTTATTTTTTTTCTTTTTAAATATATCTGTACAGCTACTTCTGTGTATGAAAGATGCTTTATAAATAAAACTGTCGTGTCTTGTCTATGAGGTGTGAGGTGGAGCTGTGGTCTAATGTTTTAAAGAGTAAATCTGACCCGAGCATGATCTCACGTCTCACACTCCTCTCTCTCTCTGTGTGTGTGTGTGTGTGTGTGTGTGTGTGTGTGTGTGTGTGTGTGTGTGTGTGTGTGAATCGTGCAGTCGTGCAGTGCGGAGTGTGAGGCGCAGAGCTGCGTCCAGGCGCCGGCGCTGGCGGACTTCATCCAGGATGAGGGCGCGGAGGAGGAGGAGAGGCAGCAGGCGGAGCTGGTCAAACGCTACGGAGGCTTCATCAAGAGAATCGACAAGAACAAGAACAAAATCTTCAGCTCGCCGGGGCGCGACAACTACATCATGAAGGCCGCCGCGCTGCCCAAGAAATACGAGGACTTGTTGAAGAGGCTGGAGGAGCGAGACGCGCACGACGCACCGGAGGATCCGACGCTGCCGCGCACTTATAGTAAACGCTACGGCGGCTTTTTACGCAAATTCGGCCCCAAATCAAGGAGGAGTAGCTCGGCGGAGCAGGAGAGCCAGGAGCCCGAGGAGCTGCAGAAGCGCTACGGAGGCTTCATGAGACGGGTCCGACCAAAGTTGAACAACCTGAAGTGGGACAAGCGCTACGGAGGCTTTCTGCGGCGCCACTTCAAAATCTCTGTGCGCTCAGTGGAGGAGCCCTATTCCTCCTACGATGATCTGAGCCTATAGAGAAATCGAACTAACACTGGAAGGAACTCGTGCAGGTTCACCTGAAGCGCCACCATCTCTCCACAAGTATCATATGCCTGCCTGCCTTGCTTGTAGCCTACTCTGCTGCCTCCTGTGTATACTCTGTGTTGTCGGCAGTATAGTCTCTTTCAATAAAGGATGCTTGTTTAATAAAACCATGAAATGTTCCAGTGATTTCAGCCTCAGTGCCAGACTCCATTCAGAGTGCACCACTTTTATTGTTTGACCTTATTCGCCAGCTCAGAACCTGGACACGACGAGATGAAAGGTATTTTATAAGATCCCCTAAACACGCTCTTTAATTCTACATAGTCTACATCATGTGCACTGGAATTACATATAAACTCTTATTGTTACATTATTATTACAGCTAACGGTGTGGTTGGATTCACTGACTCCAGCTATAAAGACAGAAAAAAAGGGATGAAACATTCATACAGATTTTAAAATTTGATATGAACATTTCTTATAACTGAAAAATTGATGTAATGTGAGTTAGGTTAAGTCAAACTAAATGATTTGAAAAAGGTTGCATTGGCCAAAGGAATCAAACCAGATATATACCACTCATCTGTCACTGTTCAAATTAGTATTATTATTATACTGATACGATTTGTCTTATTTACATTTCCACTGGCATCAGCATTGGCTGTTTTCTCCATCCATCTAAACTGTGATGAAGAGATGATGGGCGACAGATTCCTTCTTTCTCCTTGGTTCAAAAGCAGACCAGTTACATGAGACACAGGACACATCTCCAGACAACCTGCTCAAGTCTGACCATTCAACTCATTAGCAGTATGGCGACATCTTGTGGCCAAGTAAAAACTCTTTCACTCCCGTCCGATCTCTAAGAAAATAAGTTGAATTTGACTGGCTGGCCACAGGTTCACTGTGCAGACAGTGAGTAACACAGGGTGAGCAGATGAAACCTCACTCATTTGTTTACAGCAAACACACTTTCATTACAACTGAGCGATCTTCTCGTGATGAAGACATTTAGATGCAACCAAAAGCTCCGGATAAAAAGCTGATGACTGGACCTGAAGATTTTCTTACACATTTTCTTATAGAATCAAGGCTGAGAGATACAACGTGAGGTAATGATACAAGTCCCCGTCTGTTTATCTCTGTTCACACCTCCACTATGAGCTAATGAAAACATTCACATGTATGATGTGTAATAATGGACACTTTTTCCTCAAAAATTGAGCATTTATTAAACTGAACAATGCTCCTTTTACAGCCTACATGAAACAAATTCATACAACTGTATCAAATATATTAGGTACAAAAACATATTTACAGTAAAATCACATTCAACATACTCCCACCTCACTACCAGATGCAAAACAGAAATGTGGGTATCTTGAAATGTGAAGGGCATCTTAAAGGAAGGCTTACGTGTTGTGTGAAATGACGAATGAACACACAAGGATCTGTAAAAGATAAACTGGTTCCTCAAACATCACAGGAAATGCACATTCAATCCAAATGATGAAATGAGGGTCATTGGGAGACGGGGGAGAGAAGAGCCATCCTTCGTCTCATTGCTGTTCAACCACCTGCTCCACATTTTCTTCTTTAACCTGCTCTGGCTGACCTTCGTCATCACCATCAGCCGGGGCTTCCTCTTGTGAATCATCAATGGTTGCTGTGGCGTCCACCACACTGATGCTGCTGACCTGCTGTTGGATGGCCACGTTCTGTGAGGGTGCCAAGCTCTGCAGAGTAGCCGGCAGCGTCACCAGCTGGAACTGAGGGCCAACCATCTTAACGAAGGCCGTGGAGGCCGCGGAGCCGCTGGCGCCGGCTGCGCCCTCCTGACCCGCCGTCGTGGACAGCACAGTCAAGTTAGAGGAGTCGCTCACCAGCTCTGACCCAGAAAGCGTGGAGGTCAGCAGAGTGTACCCACCTAGGTTGGTGCCGGCTGGGCCTCCTGCCATGGTCAGAACCTTGCCCAGTGGCAGGCCAGTAAGCTGGTTGAAAGGCAGAGTGATTTGGGTAGGAGCAGCGCTGACCTTGGCCGGGCCGGAGACGGTGCGGGTCAGCCGGGGACGCTTGGGTGGCGGGGTTGAAGGGACTGGGGTGAGGGTCATCAGGACGTTGTTGAGGTGCTGGGATTTACTCTTCAGCTCCTTGGCTCGCTTCCTGTGCTCATCACACTGCTGCTCCAGAGCTGCAGAAGAAGAAAGCGCACACACATACAATGATTTCTATTAACACTTTCATACAGTTTAGAGGGCAGAGCTGAATAAATTAGTCAAGCCTCTAAAAATATGTCTCTATTCTGAGAATGAGGACTTCACTGAGGATTCCCCAGACTGACCAGCAAGGCTGCGAGTGTACTGTTCTCTGTAACGGTCCATCTGGCTCTTATGACTGGCCAGAACCTTCTTCACCAGGTCCAACATCCCAAAGTTCTGCACGATATTGTTGAGCAAAACTGCATCTGAAAAAACAAGCAACAATTCACATTCACTGGCATACAGCTTTTATATTCTAGGGCAAATCTACTGATTTCATCATAAGATACAAAATGGCCTGTGGGCAAAAAATACTGAAACATGGAAAATCCTATTACCGTGTGGTAGAACTCACTTAAATGTATACGTGACTGTTAAACTGGCTTTTGTAAAAACTTTGAGTTATGTCATTGTCTTGTACATTAAATCTGAAGAAGAAGCAACAACAGTATCTGAGGGTCAGGAGTTGGGAACATTTCCATATCACGAATGTGAACTGGACTCCGTCAGATTAAAAACAGAGAGAAATCCCTGTATTCTTCCACCTACTAACATCACTGTTATCTGTTATTCTTGCCATATCTCAGCTGTCAGGGATGACATCTGAGATATGGCAAAAATAAAATATGATTTTTTTTCAGGCAGGATCACAACCTTATCACTTTTAAAGACTGTTTTGCAAGTTACTGAACATAACAACCAAACTTATTGTGTGTGTGTGTGTGTGTGTGTGTGTGTGTGTGTGTGTGTGTGTGTGTCTGCATGTCATGTGCAAGAGAAGGAGGAAGAGAGCTAGCACTGTCTGGGGCGTGAATAAAGGAATTAATCCTCAGCTATGAAGAAAAAATGTACTACTTTAAAAAAAGTATCCTTCATTATGATCAGTGTTGTGGTGACAGATGTTACAAACATATCCAGAACATATCTTTTCATACAGCATGTGATAGCACAGGATGTTTCTCTGTGGGATGTTAAAAAACAGACTTTTCACAGCAGACATTTGGTCTCGTCCAAGCAGGAAAAGCACACGTGGAATAAACAATTAATGACGTCTGTGCTCCACTCTGAGCCAAAACAGGGGCTCTTCTGTATTAATGCTCACTCACTGACTTGGCTCTTAAAGGAATGAAGCCATTGCTAATGTTATCATTTACCCTCCCACACTTTGCTGCTGATGGTGAGTAGTCAATGTTTTAAAAGCAAGTATCCATCAATGAGGCAGGAACCTAAAAACCGTCATCTTCATTGGACGTGCTGTATTCCAGCTGTGGGAGCGGCATTCAGCTTTATCTATTTATTGTTGTTTTTTTATCCTGTGTTTGGAAGCGCGTGCCCTCCTCAGGACTTTAACAATCCTTTTTCATTTATTAGGTTTATTTGCAAATACAAACAGTGAACCTGAGAACCTTTGGGGATTTCATTTCTGGAATGTTGATTTAAAAGGCAGGTCTTTCTCCACAGACATCACAGACAGGGATCATTTAAGCATCATGTTTTATAAAGCCAGCCTAACTTGTGTGTGGGGAGGTGGGTATCTCTAACCTTTGACTTGTAGTGGTGGGTCACACACTCTCTCCTGAAGTCCTTTAAGCACCTCCTGCAGCTCCTTCTGAAAGTCCTCCACCACCTCCTCCAGCAGTCCTGCCTCCTTCACAGAACGCCAGAACACCACAGAGTCCTCTGTACGCACACACAAACAAACGTGTCACATCATAACGAGTAAAAACGCTTCACTCATTCAGTTCATTCCTCATGGTGGTGAAGGTTGCTCACCTCCGATGGCTGTGACCCACTCCGATGTTTCCTCTGTCACTTCAGGAAACGAGGCTAGTGTTCCATTTACTGCAACACAGACAGGAAACACTCACTGTGCACATCACCACACTTAGACCACTATGTTTTTATTCTGGACTACAGTGCGGACAGGGGTAATTCTTCCAAAGCTTGTCACTCTGAGTGTGAGAGTGTGTGAGTGTGTGAGCGTGTGAGTGTGAGTGTGAGTGTGAGTGTGTGTGTGTGTGTGAGTGTGAGTGTGTGAGTGTGGCTGTGACAGAGTGTTTGACTGTGTTGCATTATTAATCAAGACTAATGTGTTGCTTTTAGGTTAAACGATTGGAGTTGAAATCATGATCAGAATTCATGGGACTTGCTGCTGAATATGTGATTATATTTATACGACATAGGTGTGTTGGGAAGCCTCCCAGTATGCACCAGGGCAACATATGTACTATCTATACATACTATATGCAATAAGATCAGAATAACTCCTGGGGTAGCATGAAGTGTGAAGCTGTAGAACTTACAGTCAGCTGATGAGGGGGTGGCAGAGACCAGGTCAACTGATTGATCGCTGCTGATGGACACTTTTGTTCCCACCAGGTCTATCTTAGTGCTGCGGCAGGTGTTGGAACAGACCTTTGTATGCTGGTAGAAGTCCAGTTCACCTGAGTCCATGATCTTCCTGTGATATGAAATATGATGAGGCGTTACACAAAACATCTGGCTGCACTGCTGGAGTTTACTGACAACCATGTGTGATGGAACAGTGCCATCCTGAGGCATATTTGTTAACTGCACATCAACCACTGACGAGAGGGAAGGCCTGGAGTGAGCGCTGTCATGTCATCAGATTTTCACTTCACGAATATTTGGTCAAAAAGAATTTAAAAGAGCAATAGAAAAATGGTGTTAGTTGAAATCATCTTTTGTTTGGTTGAATGTGTTTTTTTATATAATTCAAAATACCATGAAATACTAAAATACTTTAGATAGTATTTTCACTGGTGACAAACTCCTAGTGGACTGTGAGGTGAAATCAGATAGAAACTACAATAGCAGTAGAGTGCAGACCCCTGTCCCCTGAAACCACATTTATATTTACTAGATAACGATTCTTAATAAGATCGGCACAAAATTGAAGACTTAAATATCAGTCCCCTAAATTTGCCAGTTCTTCATCAAGATCCATGAATTCATTTCTGAGAGATCAAGGTAAATGTGCAAAGACATTTAAATATTACTAATCCTCGAAACCCTTCCAAAAGTGTCCAAGAGCCAAGTGATAGATCCTGGATTTAGACCGATGCTTAACCTCACTTTGAACCACACATTAAACCAGACTTAAATTTTGTGGAATAAATTCTGCAACTGAGAGGGAGGCTGGGGGAGGTTGTATCCAATACTATCAAGTCAAATTCATGGTGAGCTTATCATGTTGATCCAGACCTGAGCATGGTGCCGTTGAGGCGGATGGCTCTCTTCCAATCCTTCAGAGTGGATTTCCCTGCTAAACACACAAACTCCTTTGGGCTGATGAGCTGCTCGTTGAACTGATAAAAAGGGAGAATAAACCGTTTGTGTTGTGAAACAGTTGTGAATCGATACCTTTAATGTGCTGAGGAATGTGATTTTATTCAGGCTCTGTTGTGTCAAAGAACAATTCTACCTGGACACATTTCACATTGATCCCCGGGCAGACAAACTTCTTCCAGACCAGCGTGGCTTTGGCGTCTCCGCAGGTGATTGGGTAGAAGATATCAGCTTCCACATCTACCTCTTCAGTTAACTTCACTGCAGAGCCAGAGACAGAAACAACCTCTTACTACCGTCCAGTCAGTTTTCACCTGCTCATACAAGATATACATTCAAAATATTATGTGATCATGACACTAGATGAAGCTGGACTGTCTGCAACATACGGCATTGTCATTAATGTCTGAGAGGTTTTACAATGGGCCTCTCATTAACCCATTCAAACAACAATGTTAGCAGGAGTGCTAGTCTGACCAGTCTATCACAATATATGTGGACATGAGGAGCCGGAGATCAGGCCACCAACCTGGACCGAAGCCACAGATCCCTGTCGTAATTAGTGGATTTCATTTACTGCACAAAAAGTCAAGAGTAGCAGAACATCGCTGATAACCACTACAGAGCAGTGAATTACAGGACTCAAAGAAGAGTGAGTTTCAGTGGCTATTAAATTAACCAAGCTACTGCACGGCCTCAAGTCTGCTCTATTTTACATGAGCTGCTTTAAGACATGCATTGAACTCAGATTAATATCTTGAATTTGTCCAAAGAGGCTAACTCTGTCCAAGTGAGCCCATGTGAGAATATAGCAGGATATTCGGCACAAGCTTGTGGGTGTGTCAATGACGTTTCGATGTGACAGAGGCAAAACTGAAAACAGATACAAATATCTCAGGAGGAGAAAGAGGAGCCATACACGTAGAACAGCATTTCATAATAAAACGCTGACACAGTGTGCTGTAAACAAAAACGTGGGGTCACTGCAGCAGCGCTACATCACACCTCCTGCATGCTCTACCGAGGCTCCAACCCTCCTCTGAAAGCTTGCTAATATTGTGAACACTTCTTAAGTCGTTTTCAGGCGTGAAGGAGGATGTCAGCAGAACTCAACAACGCAGTAGGAGGTTTTCTGCTCTGATGCGTTCCCATCAACACAGAAATCTCTGGAGCATTCAGGTGTGGGGATGATGCAGCAGGCAGAGACAGGGTGTAACATATTAATTCTGCTGAGAGGATCACATGTGTTTGTTTACAGCACATCAACACCAGCGTTGGCAGTTTCTTCTACGCGCATGGCTGCACTTTTTCATTTGTATTTTTTTTTTTGTTATGTTCTGTGTTCTGGAGGATCTCCTGCTGTGTTCTCACATCAACTCCTCCTGACTTTCTGTACCCTTTATACTAGGGGACTGGCAGGAGAAAGTCCTGTTCACAAAAGGTCCAAAGACTCTAACTTGGACATTTGTGTTCACACAAATGTCCACCTCGGAGATTTTCCTCCCCGCTGTTGCTCATGCTTGCTCGGTGTGGAACAAGTTAGATTTTGTGTTTCTTAAGATCTTGGACTTTTGTGCAGCACCCTGAGACAACTGTTTGTTGTGATACCGTGCTATATAAATAAATGTGATTGATTGATTGATTGACATAGAGCCCCCTGGAGAATGTCCAGAGCATCTCTGGAGTTCAGTGCATGTCAGAAAGCAGCTTTCCTGGAAAATCTCCTGCTACATTCCTCATATGTGAAAGACAGATTAAGTCCAGACCCACATTTTTCAGAGTTCATGACTAAAAAACGTGGAACAAAATCCTGCAGGTCACTGACCTATGACTGCCTCCTCCTTTGACAGTGCATCTGATGTGCTGGCCTCAGCCTCTGCCTCCACTGGTGCTACTGTGAGGACCTCCTCCCTGGGAAACCACATGAAAGTGCACACTGTCTTTAAAGTTTCTGTTTAGCAAGGTAAACAACAACCATTCTCCTCATTAATTCAGCATTCTGTGTCAAGTCTATCTGTGTTGACGACCAAAATGCTGTGTGCGCTGTGTACACCTTACCCTGGCTGAGGGCTCAGCTGTGCAGTCACCAGCACTGCTTTATCCTCCTCCACGACAGAGGGGAGGTCCTCTGCCACACTTTCTGGTATGGTGACAATCACCACCTCACTCATCTCCTGCATGCTGACCTCTGACGCCATGACAGACATTGGACCTTCACAACAGACAAGATATGGCAGCAGAGGTGAATTGGAGGTTATCAAGTGTTATTATAATCTGCATTTGTATAACATTTAGAAAGTTGAGGTAGTCAAAAGAAATGGGTTTCCCCAGTAGAAGTATGTTTGAAACCACAATGGGAAAGACTGTGGGCTTCCATTGTGACTCCCAATACCTGCTGGGATGGTGTTTAATGTTAAACAACAGTTATGTTAGTTCTGCAGTCCAACATCAGGGACAGACACAGGGAGCCAGTGCGGATACTGGTCTGAAACACAGCAGTCAGCAGCAACATGATGAGGAGAGAGATCAGGGCTAGTGAATACATACAAAACACATACGTATAGACAAAGACAAAATAAATGTTGTCAAACACAGGAAAGGGGGATATTTGGACAAATATGAGACTTAGTACGAAAACCAAACACACAGAAAATTAAAGAAAGGGTTAGTAAAGTGTTAGGAGTAAATATTGAACACATTGGATCTCCAAAAGGGGAACATGAATCAAGAATTTAAAACGTTTTTGCTTTACCACGGTGCATTGTTTCAAGTGATTAACTACATCATATAAACATTTTTGGGGATGGTAATTTCCCTGTTTACACTAAAGAATATAATATGTACCCATGAGGCTTATCATGTTAACCATGTCAGAAACAGATGGATTTAGATTATCAAAATAAAACAGGAAACGGGAGACGTTTACGGTCAGAATGGCATCACTTGATGATGGATTTCTAATATCCAGCCATCCTTTGCTGGAAACGGAGCACGGACAAAAACACGTGTTGTAACGTTTCGTCTGTCTCACACAAGGGTCCACCTCTAAATGAGACTTTGTTGAGTGAACACTGGGTAAACCGAGTGAACGATTTGAAGTGGGACCGGTGGAGACACTGCTTCGTGTGTGTGCACCAGGAGCGACGCGAACCTGTAGAGTGGGGTTGTCATCATTTACAGTAGGACTGAGTAGGACGTGGTGGTGCTGCAGGCATCACACATTCGAGATACTGAGTACATCCTACCTTCTTCTTCAGCGGACCAGTCTCTCCTCGATCGCTGATCAAATGAATTGGCCAAGCTAAGTGACAGGATGCTAGCTAGCTAGCTTTGTTCGGACCTATCCAGTAAGCTAGCAAAAAGCAGAATGCTACGGCACATTGGTGCAGGTGTGTTATTTCTCTTGTTTCCAACTCGATGGTTTTCGTATCCAACTCTGTTGTAGGAAACACTTCATCTCTTCTTCTGTTTCTTCTTCTGCTGGTGCTCCTTCTTTCTTCTGGTGTTTAATCACGGCTGGGAACCCGGTCATCGAGGCATTAGCGCCACCGTCTGGAAAGGAGTGAGGGTCAGAATGGATATTTGCCTGTAGTCTATTGTAGAGATCTGTGTTTTGTAAAATCACCGTGTCTCCTTTAGAGTTAATCAAACCCATAGACACGATGTGACATGAAGCTTTTTTTTATTGAGATGTGTCTTAAGAAGAAAGACCAAACAGGTAACCGATTCAGTCTAATCTCTTATACTATGTCCTCTTCTATTGTGTCTCTGTTGGTTGCCCTCACCTCTCCTACTTTCCTCTGACTACTGTGGGAGTATCTGCCCTTATTTTCCCGTGTGCAGGAATCCATTCAAACTTGATCACCAGTACAGCATGTGCTTTCTCCCATCTCCTCTCATCTTGGAGCAAGCTGGCATGAATGAAGACTTCTTCTTATTTTAAACAACATCCACACACATCTAAAGAAAAAATGACGGCTCCCAGATTAATGTTATTATTAACACGTGGACAACCCTGTTTCTACAGTAGTTCGGTGTTACGGCGCTGTCGAGCCAAATGTTGGTGAGGAGCACTTGTTGCGTCCACGAAGAAGAAGAGGAGGAGGAAGTGGACCGTCGCTGGGTAGTTGACGGTGTCCAGTCAGACTGGGACGTTCCGGGGCAGAAGTGTGTGACAGGAGGTCTGCTGACACACTGGTTTAACATGGCTAACGCTGCCTGGTCAGAGAAGATGGTCAAACTCCTCAGTCGAATGAACAACTTCTACTCAGCAGGTAGACCGGTGGTCCTGTGGAGAGGTGTGACACCATGTGGGCAGTGGAGGGGCTTTCACCGTGACCTCCTCTCTCTCTTTCCACAGGCTCCTGTCGCGTCAGGTGCTGCAGGTTTGAGATCGACAAAGCGCAGGTCGGCTGGATCCCTCCTCACGTGGCTGCTCTGTTGACACGGTATCCAGATGTGTTCAGTCCGCCACACGGTGGCGCAGTGACGCTGTGTCAAAGTCTGGACTCGTACGGGAGGAGATCAGAGGCTGTGGACGCTGTCCTGCAGTCCCTGAGACAGGAGGCGTCCTTGAGCTGCCTCAGAGGATGGAGGGACGAGGTCTCACACACACACACACACACACTGTCTGCTGTAGCTTGGGGGAATGCAGGTATTATGGGGCTCTGACTTTGTCTGATGCTGACATAACCATATTTATGTCAGGGAGAGAAAAGTTGCTGATGAGTCCTGTAACAATATGATAACGTTATGTGTAGAGCACCTTTCAACGCAAAGTGGTTAACAAATGGTTAAAGTAAAGTTTTGAGTTTTTAAGATGGTTGTTTTCACCATCACAGACTTGTTTCCTCAGGCATTCCAGTTCCTCGAGGCCCTGATGGCAAACGCTCTGTCCTGCTCCTTGTCTTAGGTTTCAGTCTAGATTCAGGAAGTGACAGCCGAACCTTTGCCCAAAGATGGCAAGCTGTGCAGAGGTAAATAGGGAATTAATAGATCAGAGATACAACCTGGGTCCAGACTATGAAGACCCTTTAAAGTTTTTTTTTTTTTTTAAATCAAATCAATCCTAAAAAAAAGTGAGAGCCAATGTCAAAACCATAAAGCAGGTGTGATGTTATCATATCTCTGAGGTCTAGTTATTTGCCCAGCTGCTTGAACCTTCTCATTGTGTTATTATGTTATTCCAGCTGAGGCAGTTAGATTGAACACACCATTATTTATGTCTGCCAAGGCTCAACAGGCTCCTTAAATCAATCTGCTCCAAATTACACACATGTATAGATATCACATCTAACCCCTTAATATGCCTATTTGTTCATCTTGATCCATTGTTCCCAGTGAAATTTGTGAAAAGTAAAACAAAAAACACCTTACCTCACCATGTAGAAGCAAGTGAGAAAGGGATCCTGTATCTAACTAGGGACTCCTTCTTCAGATGTAAAAAAACAACAAAAACATAACCTCAATACTGCTTGTGTGGTTTCATCCAAGTATCTTTCATTTTTAGGTGTACTCTCCCTCTAATGGGTTCTTCTCTGACCCACACAGCATCCTTACACAAAGGTTTGTGGTAATCCAACTTAAGTTTTATACTCATCAATACCAAGTTTATCAGCCCCCTAAATATGTCATATAAATAAATCAATGTTAAAGAAAGTAAAAATTCCTGGATCCGCCCCCTGATCCAGACCAGCACCAAAATTTAATGAATTCGTCACTAACCCACACCACATCCAGTTTCATGGTAATCCGTTCACTAGTTTTTGAGCAATTGCTAAAATAAACATACAAACTAGATCCAAAGTTTTATTTAGATCTGCACCAAATTACACTCACTCATAAATATCAGACCTCTAAACATGTCAGACTTTGTCATCAGGATCCATGAATTATTCGCTGAGAAATCAAGGATAATGTTGAATGAACATTCTCGCAGTGTTAAAGAAAGTTAAACAACTCCTAATCTGGATCTGCACCAAAATTCAATGGCTTATATCATGTCCCACTCCTCACATAATTTCATGGAAATCATTTGAGTAGTTTTTGCATAATCTTGCTACAAACCCATGTGAAAACATAACTTCATTGGAAGAGTTTGGGATTAGATTTTGACAGAGTTCCAAGGTTAAGTAATAATGCAAACACACTGGTCCTCAGGTGGTGTTCTACATCTTGCTGGTCCAGTCAATTCTGATTTAGAGTAAGACATTTGGAAAGTTAAATGACAAGTTTTTCATTCAGTTCAGCAGATATTCATGGTGAATGAGTGTTTATTAGGGCTGGGTATCACCAGGTACGTCGCGATACGATACTATCACGATATTTTGCCCATGATAACGATAATATCACGATACAGTGATAATTGATATATTGTAAGAAATTTCATCCACGATACATCCAATATCTGTGTCACTGAAGAAATGTATTAACTGCTCTAACTGAATGCAGAAAATACACTCTCACAATACACATACACAATACAATCTCACTGCTAGTATTATCAACTTCTCCTCTGTCAACATGAACACATATCAGTGCTGCTTAACAAGCAGAATCAAATTGTTTTATGAAAACTGGCACATTTCACTGCATATGAAAAAGAAACATTATAATCTCAAACAACTGGGTGGTCTATGAAAACCTGGGCACACATTTTAACACATACATTTCAGTGCTAATACTAATATCAATTAGTTATTTGTAAACCTGAGAACATTTAACTTGTGCTTAGTACTTTTAACCTAAACCTGTACTGCACACACATTTCAAAACTGCATGTTCTTCTTCAGGAAGAGCAACTGGTCAGCATGCTCAGAGGTGAGACAGCTCCTCTGAGAGCTGATTATGTCACCTGCAGTAGAAAAAACACGTTCCGTAGGTACACTGGTCCCTGGGACACACAGATGTCCTTGACAAGGAGTGGGTTGGCTTGAGCATGAGATTTCCACCAGTACAATGGGTCATCAGTCAGTGGTAGAGGTGGAGCATCTAGGTATTGCTTGACTTCCGTTTCAGCTATGGAAGTAGCCGACAGTTGATGGTGGGTGGTCTTGAACGTCTGCCCAAGGAGATCAGCAAGCGCAGACTTCTTCTTCTTTGGTGTGTGTGCATTGGTCTCTGGAGTCTGCTGCTCAGTGCTTCCCTCCTTGTCATCAATAGGAGCAGGGCTCACTTGAGATTCATCCATTTCTGCATCTTCCTGTAAGAAAATGAACAGTGACACACTATTACATTTCTATTTAAAAACATGTTTTAGGTCATATCAAGTCAACTATTTCTATCAATTTTAAATTTTTATGCATACAAAAGAAGAGAAAGAAACTGAGAGAAGATGACCTACTACTGTTAAAATCATCTTAATAATACCTTCGGAGCAGCAGCCATTTACATCAATTTGGCATACGTGTCCTAAATGTCTTGTGGCAATAGGAACTGCAGAGACTTAAACCTGGGGTCTAAAGCTGATGAGATGTGCAGAATGTTTTTCTCCACCATAGAGTCATATCGCTTGGACAGGTCTTGGTGGATGGTGGTCTTGATCTCTCTGAGAAGAGAAGAATCTTCGATGGTGCTGGTTGTGTTACTCAAAAGCTGGGCATGGAGCGGAGCGATGGAGATCACACATGATATTTTTTGCCACCAGCATTGGCTTGAGGGATTGCACAACCTATTCAGCATTTGAGATGTCGGTCTCATTCAGGGTGCAGATGTCAACGGTACTTTTTCTTACCTTAATGAAAGAACACAGGACAGACTGGAACTTTCATTAAAAACATGAATATAATGTACATTTTGATTACACATTACATCCAATTTATATTTTGTAACCAATCAAAATTGAACTTGCCTATGCCTTAATGCAAGAACAGAGCAGCATAGAACTTTAAAGAAATAATGAGATAATATTAAAATTATGAGCATATTTCAAGCTATCATTCATTCTCAATCATAACATTTAATCTTATTTAATCTAATCTATATGATGTACTAACAAAACAGATACACACATAGATTTTAACACAAAAATGTTACGCTATCAGCAACAATACAACGTTAGATTAGAAAAATAACCTACAGGGATAGCTTTTTCAGAGAAGTATTTTTGACAGGGTATGTCATATCTTGGTTCCAGTGTATGTAGCATTCGGCGGAAGCGTTCATTTTCGACTACACCATATGGTCGAAGATCTTTACAAATAAAGCAAGCAATCGACTTGGTATTACTGGCAGCCCTGGGGGATGCAGAATGAGGCTTTGCTTTGAATACAGCATCGATTGTAGGCTGGCCTACAGAAGCGTTAGCATTAGCGTCGTTAGCTGCCTCTCCTCCACGGCAAGATCAGGATGATGACGGACCAGGTGGCTATGCATGTTCGTCGTGTTGCCCGTGTACTTGACCCTCGCGAGACAGTTCTTGCAGATTGCTAAGTCTTTATCAAGAGTTGTTCCATTCTCATAAAAGCCGAAGTGGGCCCAGACTTTTGATTTAAAATTCGACGGTGCATCTTTCACGTGTTTTTCTCTGTTTTCTAACCCTCCTTGCGCCATTCTCTCCTTTTACCATTTTTTCTATCCATCTCCTTCTTCTCTACCGCAGTCGACTTCACCCACTCTCATTTATGCTAAGCGCTATCATGTGAAGGCTTGAAGTAGTGAAATAAAATTGTGGCAGGGTTTTGTGAGAGAATGTGTTTGGAGCGGCTGTATGTTTATTGTTTAAATATCGATATTTGGCGCCAATGTATCGATAACGTCCCGCAAGACGAAATATCGCGACATATCTTAGTATCGATATTTTGGCACACCCCTAGTGTTTATATGTATTTTAATGATCCTGCAGGCCTACACTTTCAATTGATTGCAAGAAATACTCAAACATGTGATGAGTAGTTTACCATAATGGTCCAAAAACATTCAAGCTCCTCAGAGGATGATCCTATTCCATTTCTGACTTTTTTTTTTGAGCATCCTCACTTCAAATGATAAAATCTGTACTTATGATTTTGTCAACCAATGGCTGACTTTCCATTAGATTTGATGTGAACGCTCACAATCCCAAGAAAATCAATGCTAATGCAAAAATTTTTATTCTACCTTGGACTATATAAATCAGAAAACCACAGTTTTCACACTCTACATTTTATAATTTATCAGTAAACATGAAACATTCTCATTTTTCAGAAATATAGTGTGATGCCAACATTTTCAGATCCTCCTCTGATGTGGATGGAAAGAGCAGCTACAAGTAAGTGTAGGCATGCTGTGGCAGCACCATGTTATGTTTGCTCAGTAGGAGTGCTGCATGAACTCAGTGTGATACTGTACTCCAGGTCTTTTTGGGGTGAAACGGTATGGAGTCCACATCAATGGTTACACCGTCAGTGACAGTGGGGAAGTCAGTATGTGGCTGGCTCGACGCTCCCAAACTAAGCAGACACACCCTGGAGTTCTGGACAATGTGGTGAGTACAAATTAGAGCTGATCCCTTAGCAGGCACAGAATACAATGATAATGTAAAATAAAGGAAGGGTGAGATGAATCAAGGAGGCTTATGTGTTATGTCCTCGAAGGCAGCAGGTGGTGTGTCTGCTGGGGTTGGCATCAAATATACTCTGCTGAAAGAATGTCAGGAGGAAGCATGTATCCCAGCAGCCATTGCTAATAAGGCACGCCCTGTAACCACAATAAGGTGAGATCTTTTTCCTTATTGTCAACATATCAGATGAAAACACCCAAACCAAGCATAGAATAGAAGTAGGTAGTATGTGATGTAACCAGTCCACATTCTCATAGTTTACCAGCTCTGTGATGGCAGTGGTGTGGATAAGAGGGGCCCTGATGCCTGCTGACTGGGTTTTCACAGGCAGCACCTCTCGAACTATAAACACTAAAGACTCCCGGGAGCACTCTTGGCTAGTATAATATCTCCTTTGTCATCTGCAACATCCTCTCAAATCCTAAATGCGCTGAGTCCTCTTGATGGGCAGTTTTGACTGGTGTATGTAGTTGCTGCTCCACCACTCCCCCTTTGACAGTATTCACTCCTGTATGAATTTTAATTTACAAGATCCTCAAGGAGATTCATGAGTCATGTGACTCTAAAAGGTGGACAGAGTGTCAGTATGCCCAAATGTTTTGTTTTGTGCTTGTTTAACATTTTATTTTTTTACAGTCTTACACTGAAATGAATTATTATTCATCGAAACTCAGAAACCTATTTGTTAGAGCTTAAGGATACTACTGATGTGTTTTGGTGAGAAATACTGATTGTAAAACATTTTGCTAATTTACATGAAAAAGAAACAGGGTGCTTTTAGGGTGAGAATGAAAAAGGCTGGTGTCCATAAATTAATTGGTAAGTATCCTGTATTTATTTAGTGGTTTTATAGTCTTGATGACATGTCAAAGAGCTTTACAGTACAGTTTGCCATTTACCCATTCATATGAGGGGCCATTCAGGGTTCAGTATCTTGCCCAAGGACACTTTGGCATACAGATGGAGAAGACTGTGATCGAACCAATGACATTCTGGTTGGAGGACGACCGCTCTTCTCCTCAGCCACAGCCATAGCCACACATACACTTTGGTCCCTGAGGTCAGATGGAGGGTTTGCCCTTCAGGTGTTATGTAGAACARGAACCTTGTCATTACGACAGGAAGAGTTTTGATACTACTGTAGGCATGTAAAATCAAGCCCCTCTAGATTCCATTACTAACTATTCAAATATACTTTTTAGCTACACCTATGAGGATGAAGAGGGGGTGTTTGCAGAGAGTCAGTTTGTCTATGATTTGGAGCTTCCTCGCGAGTTCAAGCCCAGAGTGGGCGATGGAGAGGTGCAGGATTTCTACCTCCTGCCCATCGATAAGGTCAGTATGAGGTTCTACACAGCAACATCCGTAACAGTCTGGTACAGCAGCTCTGACAGTCAACCCCAAGTAGTCTCCAGCAGATTCAGAGTCAGTCTCATTTCCTATAAAGGCCTATATTTGCATATCTTTGTTATCATCTATAGACTGAGACAAATAGCTGAGTCTGGGTTTTGTTTTTAGCACTCCACTGTACCTATGTGTTGATTAAATGAAATTTTCATTGTATAGCACCAAATGGCAACATACATTTTCTCAATGCATTAGATGGAGAACTTTCAATATTATAGAGAAACCCAACAGTGTGTTAGCATGATGGGAGTTCCCCCAGCYGTCTAGACCTGTAGCAGCATAACTAAGTGATGGTTCAGGACTCACCTGATCCAGAACTAACTATAGGCTTTATCAAAAAGGAACGTTTTAAGTTTAACTTTAAATGCAGAGATGGTGTCTGCCTCCTGAACCCAGAGTGGGAGCTGGTTCCACAGGAGAYGAGCCTGGTAGCTGAATGCTCTACCTCCTGTTCTACTCTTACAGACTCTTGGAACCACAAGAGAGCCTGTGTTTTGTGAACGAAGTGATCTATTTGGATAATATGGTGTTATGAACTCTTTTATATATGAAMGGGCTTGATTGTTAAGGGCTTTAAATGTGAGGAGCAGGATTTTGAAAACTATTTTGAAATTTACAGGGAGCCAATGTAGAGAAGCTAAGACAGGAGTAATATGATCTCTCCTTAGAGCTCCTGTCAGCACTTGTGCTGCAGCATTTTGGACCAACTGGGGACTTTACAGTCTTCCTGGGGCATCCTGATAATAAGGAATTACAGGCCTTGATGTTCTTGAGACATTCCTGAAGTTGAACTAAGTGATTAGATTCATCATGCTTCAGAGAAATGTACAGCTGGGTGTCATCTGCGTAACAATGGTAGTGTATGTGGTGCTTTCTCATGATGTTGCCTAAGGGGAGTATATATAAGGTGAAGA